TCTTGTCCCCCCAACCCCACATGCCAGCACTTTATTTCAATAATGTACATTCAAACTTTCATAATTATGAACAACAATTTACAATAATTGAATAAACCTGATCATTAAATTTTTAGTAATTTTTTATATAATTATTTTATTTTCAATTTTTTTCAAATTTATTTGAAACATTTCAAGCATTCAAAAGAAGTATGGAGGACAGAATAATGATCCATACTTTGCTAATCTTGTTTTACTTATCTCATGGTTTTTTGGTGGAGGGGGCTGAAGTATTTGAAAATCAATCCCAGACATACTTTCACCCACATTTTTTCATTATGTATGTCTAACAGGCAAGAACTGGAGAAAACCATAACCACAATGCCGTTACCACAGCTAACCAAATTAATAATTTAACATTTTTATCAAGTCTACAGTTTATTTCCTTGATTGTCTCAGCAATGTCTTTTTAGCATTGGCTTACTCAAATCAGAGCCATACAAGATCTAAACGTTGCATTTGGTTTACTGGGCATTTAAAACAACCTTTATTTACATGCACTTGACTTTCACATTAAGCCAATGGAAAGTGTATGGTCCCAGTTCACAGGAGGGGGCTTAGAGAGAGGTTAAAAAACCTTCACAAAGTCTCATTGCTGATTAGGGCCAGACTCGGAATTTGAATTAAGATCTGCCCTAGTTCAAAGACTCCATTCCACTCTTTTCCCTTCAGTTCCCAGAATTTTTCCTATGTTGCAGAGAGGCAAGAGGGCTAGTGGTTAAGACAAAGGGTTTGGGTTCAGGTTGGCCTGGATTCCAATTGAAGCAAGTTATGTAATCTAATACTCCACTTCTCTCTGCATCTGTACAATAAGAATATTGTGGTGATGATGGTTTGGGGCTGGTTAAGTAGGATAATACACGTCTAATAGTTAGCACAGTGCTTGGCACATAGATAGCACTCAGTAAACCTTAGTGATTATTAGTGTAGAGGAGAAAGAATCACAAAGTGTTTGCTTTTGTCAGTTTTAATACAGCCTGTTTAGGATTGAGGCTGAAGGGTTGGGAAGGGTAGCAGTAGGGTGATGATTCTGCATGGGTTGGAGAAGGAGCCCTGCTCATAAAGTATTAAAACAGGCACCCCAGGAGCTCTTCAGAGGCCTCAGCTGGAAACCAGTTAAACATGCCTTCTGAAGGCTAACCTGGCTGTCTCCACAGAGGGAAAACCGGTGGCGGCAGACAGGATGGGAGACTTGAATTTGGAATCATGTGAATGCATCAAACCTATTCCCCCAAAATGAATTGCATTTTAAAAAAACCTCTTTTACCATAGGGGTAAGTGCTGCAAATGGGTCTAACGATAATAATAATAATAATAATAATAATAATAATAATATTAATCCCCTTACTCTTTTTTTTTTTTTTTTTGCAGTTCTAGGAGGACTTTGGTCATACAAGGCAGGACTTGCACCGAGACCGGGAATACTAGTATTTCAGCTGGATTAGAATTTCAAAGATCCAAGGTAATGTTTTCATTTCAGCTGTTTTCCTTCTGACACTCATTCTATGAGTCCACAACCAGCAGTCACAGATTTGGGATTATTCAGCCCTGGATTGTCTTCTAGCACAGGCATTGTTAAAGGTTGAATCTATTGGCTAAAGAAGGCTTTTGTATGTATTGTCTGTGCATTTCCCAGGTCATTTTTGATGCTTACATCGGTTAAGACTCTGGGGACCTAATTTTCTAGAGTCCTGGGGAGGGGGCACATAACCCCACGCACAAATAATCAAGAACTTGCCTAGATACTGTTCTAAGGTCTTTACATATATTAACTCAAACCTCATAACACCACACTGTCGGTACCATTATACCGCTCCTACTTTCAAAGAAACAGAACCAAGTAAGATTAGGTAACTTGTTCAAAATGAGCCTGCACAACTAACCATTAGGCCATACTCCCTCTCTGTTGGCAGTGGGCCAGTCACGGAGGGGTTCTTTGAAGACGATACAAGCATCCTTGGCTGTGTAGCAGCAATACCCAGAGTCCCATAGCCCCAATCCACCTCTGCAGGTTTTGGTTTAGGAGCAGGAAAGACCAGGGTGTGAATTTCCGCCTTGACCTCAGGCAATGTACTTACTCGCTGTCAGCGTCAGGTTCTTTATCTGTGCCAGGGAGGAGCTTAGATTAAAAGACCTCTCCTCGCTTTACGCGTGTGTGGGTGTGTGCAGGGGGTGGGAGGTGGAGGGGCTGAGGTTTCTGGGCGGTGCGCTGCTTTTTCCAGGTCTGGAGGGAACGGTGTTTGGAGGTTCGGTCCCGGCCCACTCCCTCCCTGGAGGTCAGGCCCCAGGCAGCGACGGCGCTCCGGCTGGGCTATTCCCCCTCCGCTGGGAAAACGGCCGCCACCGCCGGGAGGTCTAGGGTGGGTCTTTTCCTCCGAGGGAGTTAGGGATGACTGTGTCCTCAGGACGGCTTCTTGGAGGCAGGGGCAGTTGAGTCGAGCCCAGAAGGTCCAGCAGGAGTCAGTGAGAAGAGGTGGAAGGGGAAGGGTGAGCGTCCCCCACCCCACCCCCAGCCGCAGAACAAAGAAGCGCGGCCGGCTTACAGTAAAGGAGGAGGAGCTGTGAGTGGAGAGGTCGGTGGAGGCGAAATCACACCGGAGCTGCAGGGCTTGGCTTTATTCTAAGAGCAACTGGGAGGGGTTTGGAGGCATGTAGTCAGGAGTTTTAGAAAGACTCCGGTAGGCGCTAGGGCAGAGGGGGTCGGGGGGTGGGGGGTGCAGGAGGCTATCCCAGAAGTTGCCCGGTTGGAAGATGACCGACGATGGAGGAAAGGGGGAGCGGGGACCTGGCATCTGAGCCTTTCTCAGCCTCCGCGACACTGTGCGCCATCCCTGGACTTTCTTGGCTTATGTGGCAGGGCCCCAGAGGGGGCTGGGCCCCGGCCAAATTCTCAATGAGAAGAGCCCAGAACCCTCTCCCCTTCGGAGGGCTCTCAGGTCCAGGCGCCCCGGAACTGGGAGAATGTATCACTGTCGAAGACGGAGAACCGTTACCCCTCGAAATACACAAGAACCTCCACCGTTTTTGGCAGCAGCGTCCTCCGCCCATGACCTCATGCTTTAAGCTCCTATATAGCCTTCCCCCGCCCAGTCCACACCCAGCGCCGAGTGGGGGAGGGTGGGGGAGGGCGGCCAAGATCTGGGTAGCGGGAGCACCTTATTTATCCAGTGTGACTTCTGGGGAATGGGGTGCTATGATCTCCCCTTACTGCAAAAATGCATGGTTTAACTTTCCCTCCAGCAAAAAAGACTCGCTGTCGTTTGCCCTCGATGAGCTAGATGCCTCGAAGCGGTCTGTTGAGCTGAACCATCTTTGGTTCACGTTTCCTCGGACGAGAAAACACACCTGGAAATGCTGGGTCCCAGGCCGGACCGACAGGCGGCCGCGCTGTCGCGGGACCCGGGGCCGCCCTGTTCTCGCCCTCCTGGCGCCGCCGAGGTTTGAACCCCCGGCTCGCCTTTCAGCCCGCGCCCTGCCCCCTGCTCGCAGCTGCTCTCGGTTTGGGTGCAGCGGTTTCCCCCGCAGAGGAGGAGGAGCAGGCAGCGCGAGGAGCGGCTCCGGCTCGGGTTTCTGCACCAATGCCGAGCGGCCCCGGGCGGCCCCCGGCAGCCGTCCCTCCTCCCCGGCACCACGTTCCACAGTCATGGCGCGCGAGGAGGGGCGAGCGCGCTCCGCGGCAGCACCCGCACCCCCTCCCCTCAGCTGCCCGGCCCGGCCCCTCTCCTAGGCAACCTCCCTCCCCGGCCTGCTGCGCGGCGAAGATGGAGACCCCTCCCCAGAGAGCTGCGTTTCCAGCGCCGCCTGCAGCACCCGCTCCCCGCCCCCATCGGGGCGGAGGAATGGAGCCGCGCGCTTCGCGAATCTCCAGCCCCTTCCCCGGAGCGCCGGCCTCTCTCCCAGCCCCACCGAAGCCGGGGTGCAGTGCGGGGGGGAGAGGGGGAGTAGGTGCAGACCGGCTCCCCGCAGCCCACCTCGACCGTGGCATCTTTGCAACCCCTTTAACAAAATAAACCCCGAACCCAAAGCCCAGTCGTTAGACTGCAAAGCGCGTTACAATAACCGGGACGGCTACGCAGGAAGCAATCCTGCACTGGTCCGGGTCTAAGGCGGCAGCTTCCCGGCCGCGCCGCCTCCTCCTGGGCCTCGATTTTCCGGCCACGCCGGAGAGTCCGCCACATCTCGATTTGCAGACAGGTCCCGCGCGGGGCCCCAACGCGGTCCTCGCCCCCCGCCCCATCCTGGTCCAGACTCTCTCCAGCCTACAAAAGGTGCCACCTCATGCACATGCAGAGCAAACAAATAAGGTCGGCAGCGCGATGCCGGGAACGCTGCGAACAATGCGTGGGGCGGCCCGCGACCGCCGAAGCGAGGCGCCCCGGGGGACACGGGGCGCGGGCGGGGGCCGCGGCGTAGGACCCGCCGGCCGGGCGCTGGACACCTTACTTCCTGCTTCCCCGCCCGCGGCCAGACCCAGCTCTGCGGAGGGATATCTCTCCCCTCTTCTGTCCCCCTCTCTCCCTTCCCCCGCCCTCCCCCCTTTTTTGCTTCTGCTCCCCCCCATTCTCTCCCCCCCCCCACCCCGCCTTTCTCCTTTTGCAAGAAAATAATTTGACAGTCGATTTGCTGACAGGGGAGGAATTTGCATCCTGGATTAAAAAAAAAAAAAAAAAGACCGAGAGGAGCTTGGGAACGGTTGCTAGGGGTGGGTAAAGGGTGAAAAAAGGGGGGCGCCGGGGAGCAGATAAAGAAGGTTTAGGGAGGGGCGGGGATGGGGAGCCATGCCAAAGGTAAGGCCAGGGTTCCCCGGCTCCGGCCCGAATTGGCCGCCGCCCGGGGAAGGGCGAAAAAATCATTTGTATTTTCGGCTTTTTAGCCCCCCCCCTTCCCTTAACGAAGGGTGAGAAGGCGGGGCATGCAGGCGGGGAGTAAATTTCCTGAAGGGGAGGGTGGATGCCCCCCGCGCGGCCCCCGCTGCAAATTTCCACCGGGGAGGGAGAGTGGCTGGATGCGGAGAGTTTGGAGTTGCTTGCGGCGGAGGGCAGGAAGGGGAGCAGGGCCGGGAAGGGGGTTGGCGGGCGCTATCTCTGGGAGTAAGTTTCCAGGATCAGGAGAGCCTGCACGCTTGCTCGCTAGTAAGTTTCTGGCCGGGGACGGGCGAGTGGGGAGGAGGAGAGGGAGGGGTGCATGTATATAGAAGGGGGGAGGGGGGGAGCAGATTTCCTGCGGGGAGGCTGAATGCATATGGAGAGTAGATTTCCTGAAGGGAGGGTGGAGGCATAGACGGACCGAGTAAGTTTCTTGCTCGGGTGGTGGCGGAGGTGGTGGGTTGGTGCTTTGGTAACGCCGAGCTTCCTACCGGGGTTGGGGAGCACGCTGGTGGGTGGGGGTGGGGGATGAAGGGCCGGGTTCCCTGCTGGGGAGAGGGGCTTGCATCTGGGGAGTATGTTTCCTGGCGGAGCGATATTTGTTTACTGGCTGAGGGCAGTACTGTAAGTGAGTAGCGCTTCGAGGAGGCGGCTCTGACATAAATTAATATTGAAATTACTCCATCAGCTCTGCTTCTCCCCCATCGCACCCCCCCAAGCGGAGACTGGTCTTCTTGTCGGATTGCCCATGCACTTGTTGCAGAAACAGCCAAGGTAGGCAAGAAGCTTATTAAGTTTCATTTTTAAAAAAATTAGTTGGGGGGGATGCTCAGTGAGAAGATGGGGGAGGGGAAGGAAAAGTCTCCCCCCCACTTCTTTACTTTCAGTATGTTAACCGGGCCTTCTCTCTGCTTCCCTTCTTCCCTCTTCCCTCTCGGTGCTGCACGGCATCCCAGCAAAGGGGGAGGGGTGCAAGGAGCGCTAAAATTGGCAGATCGGGCTTAAAGGGTGGTGGTGGGGCTTGCACTTGAAGGGTGTGATGCTATAAAACCTTCATTCTTCCAGCCAAGAAACCGCAGGACCCTAGGGATGTGCCTTTTGGGGCTTTGGACATGATGCATATATGTATATATATGCGCCTGTGGGCTCTTTGGGGGCCCGAGGACCCACCAGAAGTTAAAAGTGGCCACCCAGACGAGGGAAATGTGTGGGGGGTAAACCTGCCCCTCCAGTCTTAACTTCAGTTTGGGAGTTGTTGCTGGTGATCTAAATAAATAGATATTAGAAAACCACCCATTCACTGGCGGAGGCCGAGAGCACCTGGCCCGTGGCCTCCGGTCAGCCCTGGGCTGGGGCATGTGCGCCTGCCATCCTTACGTGAAAAGAAAATGACATTCTGGTTCCTCCGTGGGTCTTGGGCCGGCCTGCGAGAGCCAGCTTTGTGGAAACTTCCCAGACCCGGCGGCTCTGGCAAGTGAAAGTACGTGTTGAAGCCGGTTGCTAACAGCGTGGCCTGGGCTGTCTTGGGAAGCGCATGGAAGTGATGCTTAGGAATGAGGGATCCAGGGATGGCTGAGGAGTTCTTTAAAAAAATGCCTCCCGGGCCGGGTGGGTGCGCTTTTTAGCAGGCCTTGGAGCAGAGCGTTAAGAAAGGAGTTTTCGGTTGTCCCAGTTGGTACCAACCTTCGGCATCATTAACCGTTTCAAGAAAGCAGTCTGGCGACCGACCACGGGGTTTGGTGCCCACTGGAAGGATAACCAGCAATAGTACTCAGCGGTTTACCAGTTAACCAGCCGTCTTTGCTCCTCCCTGCCTGTTTTCCTGGTACTCAGCCTGCTGGTTTCTGCAGATGGGTGGTTGTAGGTCTTGGCTGTCAGGTACCTGGATTATGCTGGGAGTTTTAACTTTGCCAGGATAATTTTAGCACCAGAGGTTCAAACCCAGACATGCTTAGTAGGGTCAGGGAGTAAACACTAGGCAGAGTGGTTAACTAAAGTTGGTTAAGCTTTCTGCAGTTCTGTAGCCGGGCTCAATTCTAGCAGGGGAAATAATGGGTTTAAAAATATTTCTCTACGTGTTACGGATGGACAGTGCTTTCTTTCCTTCCTGTTATCAGATTTCCAGATTGAGAATTGGTTATTTGGCAGCTTGAGAGCTGAGTTAGTTGGGAAATAAATATTGCCATTTATCAAATGTTCCTAACTAGGCATTCGTTAAACAAATTAGCTATTAATTTTCCCCTGCTGAAAGTCTGCGTCTGGTGGTGTCTATTGCTGGGAAGGTAAACACAATCTTTGTGTGTGTTTATCCCAGGATAGTGGAATTATTGACATGGCTACCCTCGAAGCCAAGAGCAGTCATTCAGGTTTTTTTTTTTTTATTCTTATAGTTATGAGATTTATTTTATTGTCTTGCTTTGGCCATTAATCAAGTCACAGTAGCTTTTTTTTCTCTTCTGCTGGGAATGTTCTTGTGGTAATAAAGGTTTGAAGGCCCATGAATCATAATTCATTCTTTTAAAAATATCGTGGTGATTGTCAGGATTTGATTTATAGGCATTGATACAGGGAGTGACACAGCTCGTTGGGCCCCGCCCTTTTAGGCATGTCCGTTTTTGCCAAAGATTTGTTGAGAAGCCAGCTTGACATCTCAAAAAAAGAGCGCTTCCGTCTGTTTTATGGGCATCGAGAAGATTAATTTTGCAGGTTCCATAGTAAACACGAGTCTTTTCACAGCTTGGGAAGCAGGCTTCCACATAGCAGGCGTGTGTTAATATCACATAGCATTTATGTGAGCTTGCTGTGAAAACAGTTGTTCTATGAACTGTGTGGAAAGTACTCCGTTTGGCTTCCTTTAACCCGCTTGGGCCTGTGGTTTTTGTTGAGGTAGGAGCATTAATGATAAGGGAGGGGACTGCTGCTTATATAATGAAGTGTGTGATCACAAAAGCAAAGCTTATGTATCATATTCTTTTTCCTATCCTTTGATGGTTGGGTTGGTCGTAATAATCAAAAGCATTGTTTGCTTGGGAAAAGTATAAGGATTCTCCATAAAGTTGATTAATCAGAAAGTATTGACGCTGTTTTGCATTCAGTGGTTGCCTCGAGTTTACAGTATTTGAAAAGTGACCAAGAACTTTTAAGGTGGTTTGATGCTCACAGCAGGGGGGAAATGTCCAGTGTCTAGCATTTCTGGACTTCAGATTTTTTTTTTTTAATTAGGAGCGCACAGTTTGATCCACGAGTTACATCTGTGTCTGAAGTTCTGTCATTCGGTCTTGTGGAGAGAGCTCTCCAGAGAAGTCTCTGGAGGTCTTGACAGTGTCTTCCTGGGCCAACGGCCAAATTGCTTCATGGACTTGTGCTGAGTTGATTAACTTCCGTTTTTGTCTTCTCATGGAGAGAGTGGAGCTGTACCTTGGCATTCCAAAAAAGACTCTCGAGTGGCCTGGTTATCTTGACCATCCACGCAAGGAAAAACTTAGGAAAGCCTGCCACCGACCGTCTTGGGAAAAAAAAGGGCATGGTTGATACCCATTTATATGTGTTAACAGAGAGTGGCACCAAAAATAATTTCAGTTCATCTTGGAAGTTTCCCCTGCAACCAGCTGGCTCACCTGTCTAATTATGCTTGGTCAAATCTAAGGTTAATTGAGCAGACCAGAAAGCCTAGTGTGGCTTTACCCACTGTCTGTGGAAAATTCACACGCGGGTAATTGGAATTTGGTGGTATATTTGCCATAGGGTTCATGGTAATGATATTGTATTAATGTCGCTTCTGGGATGTCTCATATTTCACTGTGGGCATTTTTTTTTTTGGGGGGGGGGGGAAGCTCTTGATGTTTTTATTGACTTTGAACATTCACATGTGTAGTAAGGATCCAGACAAGTGACTCAGACCCCAGGCAGTACAAATTAGTGCTGATTGTTCTGCTCTAAAAGCAGTCGAATTCAGCTCATTTTATTTCTGACCTCATGAAACTGTGATTTAGGGAGGAGAGAGGGTGAGGATCAGCTAGGATCTTGTGGATTAGTAATATTTCTGAATTTGCATGTTTAAGGGGAACCAATAAAATAAAGAGGATATTACACAGTTGCTTTCTTTTGTGGGGAGAGGGAGACAAGAGCAGCTGCATCTGTTCTTGGCATGCTTTTCAGCGAGGCTACTGTGGCATGTTATGGAATAATACAGGCTTGAGAACATGAGTTTGATTCCATGGCTCTCTTAATCTGTTTTTATTTTTTCTGGGTTAAATAAAATACACAACAAAAAGACCCTGTGGGATTTGATAAGGATTTTCAAGTTCTCTGGGCAGCTGCTTGTAGGGCCTACTGGTTAATTGGGGTGTACTGAGGAAATGGATGCCTTTTGCTTTTTCCTCATGGAAGACAAGCTGAGAATGGGTGGGATATGCTGAGCTGTTGGGCTTTTGGTTTAGCAATATTAAAACGTTTTTGTTTTGTTTTTTGATAGAGAGGAAGGGGGAAAAAGAACCCGTGTGCCTAAATGGCAGCGAGAAGTCTAGGCTCATAGACGGTAACAGTTATTTTCATGCCATGGCTGACTGGTTTATTCATTTGTACATTCGGCAGTTACTCATTGAGCACCCATTCTGTGCTCGGCCCTAAGCTTAGACGCTGGGAATATGTTGATAATTCAGAACAACATAATCATCTCCCTCTACCCATCCCCCACCCCTCTCCCTAGTTTACAGTCCAGAGGGGAGGTTGACGTGTAAAGGAATAGATATTGCAAAATGTGATAAATGCTCTGATGAAACCCCAGGGAACGGTGACCTGGACTTACTCAGCTAGAGCAGCCTAGGAGAGCCTCCCTGGGGACTGGGGTGGGAGAAGCAGAGGGCACTGCACAGCCTGGGTGGAAGGCCTTTGGCTTTGGCCATTGAAGAGAAGTGCGGTGGATAACGGGAGGGAGAGAGGGCACAAGAGACGACTGACCAGGCAGGGCTCTGGGGGCCTTGAAAGGTTTGGGTTTCATCCGAAGTGCGGCGGGAAGCCATGACAGTGAGAAGTGACACCCCTACCCAGTGCATTGGTGGAGAGGGGCGGGTGTGGAATTGGGGAGCACAGTGCTGTGGCAGTTGGAGCAGGTCAGGTGGGAGGTGACAGAAGGTGAATGGAGGGGAGCCAGACGCACATTGAAGGTGGAATGGGCAGGGCTTGGGGATGGACTTGGTGGGGGTTGGGGAGGAGGAATCTAGGATAACAGGTTTCTGACTTGAGCAGTTGGGTAGATGGGTGGTGCTATTTGCTGAGATGGGGAAGAGGGAGAGGGAGGGGAGCAGAATCACGCCGTTTCTGTTTGGGCTCCCTGGAATCTGAGATGCCTGTTGGACTCAATGAGATGTTAAGCAAGCGGTCTGATACGAGCATCCAGTGTCAGAGGACTGGCCAGGCAAGAGATGAAAATGTGGGAATCGTCAGCCAGGGGGTGGTATTTTAATCCAGGAGACTGGCGGACATGTCCTAAGGAGCCTGGAGGGAAAAGGCGATGCATACGAGTGTGCCGTGAGATAAGGCCGGGAAAGTCACCAATGGATTTGGCAAAATGGAAGTCATTGGCAACTTCACGAACAGTTTCAGTGGAGCGATGGGTTGGGCAGAAGCAAGGTTGGAGGGGTTGGCCGGGGAGTGGGAGGCGAGGAACTGGGAGTGGCATGTGTAGACAACTTTTGGGTACAGCTTGACTCAGAAAGGGGGCCCAGAGGAATGGAGTGGGAGTTGGAAGGACATGGGGTAGAGGGACGGGGTTT